CGGCCGTGAGTATGGGTCCTGGTGAGGAGGCCTGAAGTTGAGGCCGCGCGAGGTGGCGGTCCTTGGGTGACGGGGACCTTGTGTTGGGCCTGGAGTTGTGCTTCCTGGCGAGGGACCTGGTGTTGGGCCGGTGGTGGGTCTGTGAGCGGACCTTGGAGTTTTGGGCCGGGGGGTGGGTCCTGGTGAAGGGACCTTGTGTTTGGTGCTGGAGTCGAGTGGGTCCATGGCGGGGGATGGGGGGGGGGGGAAACCTGGTGTTGGCCTGGTGAAGGTTGCACATGGCTAGGGCCTGGTTGGGCCAGGTGACGGACCTGGTGTTGGGCCCGAGGTTGGACCGGGGGTGGGTTCAAAAGTAGGGCCCTGGTGTTGGTCCAGGAGTAGGTTCTTCTGTGGGGTTTTGAGTGAGCGCACATAGCACGTGGGCGCCTGTGTACGAGCCATGGTGGGGCCGGAGTTGGAACTTGTTGATGGATGTTGGTGTTGCGGCCTGGAGGCTTCGCGTGCCTTCGGCGACGGACCTGGTGTTAGGGCCTCGTGAGTGAGGTCCTGGTGAGAGGCAGCCTTGTGTTGGCCTGGAGTATGGTTACCTGGCGAGGGACCTTGGTGTTTGGGCCGTTGAGTGGGTCCTTGTGTGAGGGGACCTGGAGTTGGGCCGGCGGGCTGGGTCCTGGCTTGTTGCGGACCTTTGTGTTGGGCTGGAAGGAGTGAGGTCCTGGCCGATGGACCTGGCTTGTTGGGCCTCGCCGTGGAAGGTGCCATTGGTAGGGGCCTGGGGTGGCGGACCAAGGCTGGACGGACTGGGTGTTGGGCCTGACGGTGTGCGACCGGGGGTGGGTTCAACAAGTAGCCCTGGGCTCGCGGGGCTGGTGTTGGTCCAGGAGTAGGTCCTTCTGTGGGGTTTTGAGTGGGACCATGTGTGGGCCCTGGAGTAGGAGCCATGGAGGGGCCCGGAGTTGGAACTTGTGATGGATGTTGGTGTTGGGCCTGGACTTGATGTAGTGGGTGTTGGGCCTGGACTTGATGTAGTGGGTGTTGGTCCTGGTGTTGGTCCAGGACATGGGGGCTGCGGTTCGGTCCAGGAAGTGGGGCCTGGTGTATCTAATGGTGTAGGACCAATCGAGGGACTGGGCGTTGGTCCTGAGGTTGGCCCAGGTGTTGGCTCAACGGTGGCCCGGTCCCATCGGTTTAGGATCTGTGGTTTGGGCCATTTTGGCTAGGTCCATGGTGGTCCAAGGAGTGGGGTCCTGCTTGTTGCGTCCCAGGAGTGGGGCCTGCGTGTATCCCAATGGTGTAGGACCAAATCGACGGGACCGGGCGTCGGGTCCTGGGATAAGGCTCAGGTGTTGGCTCAAAGGTGGGTCCCATCGTAGGATCTGTGGTTGGGCCTGTTGTAGGTCCTGGTGTTGGAATCCAGGAGTGCGGGCCTGCTGTTAGGTTCCAGGAAGTGGGGCCTGGTGTATCTAATGGTGTAGGACCAATCGAGGGACCGGGCGTGGGTCCTGAGGTTGGCCCGGGTGTATGGACTCAAAAGAGTGATGGGTCCCATTTTCGGGTTTAGGGGTTAGGGATCTTTGGTCTGGGCCAATCTGCCGCTCGTTCCTGCAGTTTGTCGTCCAGGCAGTGGGGCCTGCTGTTGGTGCAGGAGTGGGGCCTGGTGGATCCAATGGTGTAGGACCAATCGAGGGACCTGGCGTGGGTCCTGAGGTTGGCCCAGGTGTTGGCTCAAAAGCTGAGGTCATCGTAGGATCTGTGGGTGGGCCATTGGTAGCGTCCTGGCTGTTGGTCCAGGAGTGGGGCCATGACTGGTTAGCGTCCAGGAGTGGGGGCCTATGGTGTATACCAATGGTAGTCATGGACCAAATCGAGGGGGACCGGGCTGACGGTGCCTGAGGTTAGGCCCAGGCTGTTGGTCAAAGGTGGGTCCCATTACGTTAGGATCTGTAGGTTGGGCCATTGGTAGGTCCTGGAGTTTGCGTCCAAGGAGTAGGGCCTTGATCTGTCCTGGTCCAGGAGTGGGCGGGCTGTATCCAATGGCTGATGGACCAACATCGAGGGGGACTGGGCGTGGGTCCTGGAGGTGGACCAGGTCCGGCTTGGCTCATAAGGTGGCTGTCTCCATCGCTAGGCATCTTGGTTGGGCTCGCAGCTCGGTACCTGCGTGTGGTCAGGGAGGTGGAGGCCTTGACTGCTTGCGTCCAGTGGTGGGGTGAGGTAGTATCCACTGGGTGATAGTTACCAATCGAAGGACGAGGCGTGGGGTCTGAGGTAGAGCCCGGTGTTGGCTCAGAAGGTGCAAGGTTCCCATCGTGGATCTGTGGTTGTGAGGCCTGTTTGTAGGTCCTGGTTTTGGTCCAGGGGTGGGGCCTGCTGTTTGTGTCCAGGAGTGGGGGCTGGTGTATCTCCAATGGTGTTAGGACAACTCGCGGGACCGGGCGTGGGTCACTGAGCGTTGGCCCACGGTAGTTGGCTCAAAGGTGGCTCCCATCGTAGGAATCTGTGGTTGGGCATTTGGTAGGTCCCTGGTTGCTTGGTCCAGTGAGTGGGCCTGCATAGTTGGTCCATGAGTGCGGGACCCTAGGTGTATCCAATGCGATTGTTAGACCATAGTTCGAGTGGGACCCCGCGAGGCATCTGTCTGGTGTTCAGATAGAGGTCTCCGCTTGAGGGTTGCGCCCATGCGCTCGCGATGTTCTCTCGGGATGAAAGGATAGGATTCTCTAGCGTTCGCCTCATCGTCGCCTGTAGGATCTGTGAGTGGGCCAATTGGTAGGGTCCTCGGTGTTGGTCCGGAGTGTGGGTCCTGGTGTCGGTCCAGGGGTGGGGCCTGGTGAGTCCAATGGTTGGTATAGGACATCGAGGGACGGGCGTGGGTTCCTCGAGGTCTGGCCAAGGTAGTCTGGCTACAAGGTGAGGTCCCATGATAGGCCATCTCTGTTTGGTATGGGCCATTGGCTTAGGGTCCTGGTGTTGCAGTCCAGGAGTGGGCCTGATGTGGGTCCAGGAGTGGGGCCTGGTGTATCTAATGGTGTAGGACCAATCGAGGTACCGAGGCGTGGGTGCTGGGGTTGGCCCAGGTGTTGGCAATCAAAGGTGGGTGCCCATCGTTAGTTATCTGCTGGTTGAGGCCAATCATGGTAAGGTCCTGTGATTGAGCTCCAAAGGAGTGGGGCCTGCCTGTTTGCGTCCAGGAGTGGGGCCTTGCGTGTATCCAATGCGAGTTTGTAGGACCAATCGAAGGGACTGGGCTGTTGGGTCCTGAGGTTGGCCCAGGTGTTGGCTCAAAGGTGGGTCCCATCGTAGGATCTGTGGTTGGGCCATTGGTAGGTCCTGGTGTTGGTCCAGGAGTGGGGCCTGCTGTTGGTCCAGGAGTGGGGCCTGGTGTATCCAATGGTGTAGGACCAATCGAGGGACCGGGCGTGGGTCCTGAGGTTGGCCCAGGTGTTGGTTCCATTGTTGGAGCTGGTGTTGGTGGGACTGTAACAAGTGTGAACGGTTTTGACCTTGTTGCTGGTGTTGGTCCAGGAGTTGGTCCTGCTGTGGGACCAGTTGTTGGTCCAGGCGTTGGTCTCTCGGTGGGTTTTGCAGATTGGGCTGGTGTAGGCCCAGGTGTTGGAAACTGGGTTGGACCTGGAGTGTCGGCGGGAGTTGGTTCTGATGTTGGGCCTTGTGTGGGACCAGGAGTTGGCTCTAAGGTTCCTGGTTGGTGGTGGCCACACTGAAAACAAAATTCGATACGTCGGATTTTGCTTCCCGGCTTGGGAGTTAGGTCGGATGGATTTGGATCATTTGCTGGCAGAAGATACAAGGTTCCATAAGGCCACGATCCTCCCTTGATGTGCACCCAAACTGGAACATCAGATTCTATTTTGGCCTTCTTGAATCCATTGTTAGCTGGTTGTAGGCACTCCACTTTGAATTGCCCTCTACCAGCAGTGGGACAATTGAGATCTCCTGATGGCTTTAACAAGGCACCAGCATCCTCAAAGTTAACCCAAGCATTGTTTGTATCAACACAGCCATTCAGCTGTTTCCAACCAAATGCAAAATTGGTATTGGGATCAGATGGGTTTCTGATTGAATAGCATTTCAAGCCACGAATGTACAGACTCTGAGTGGTGCTTGGAACGAGTCTCCTTGAAGATTCCGGCATCAACTCCTGGCAATTTATTGATCCAGTCTCAGCCACATCAGAAACGATGACAGCTCTTGAAAGCTGCCCTTTTTCTGTAAGATCAGCGACGGCACTGCCAATCAAACTCAAATAGTTTGTGACATTCACGGCATTGCTACCGAGCACAGCCCGCAAGCAAAGTGAACTTTTGCTCCGAAGGCTCAGCTGGGACAAAGTGCTTGCAAAATGTGTCCTTTTGGAGTGACTAGGATGCTCCACACCTTTTGCACCCCCCAGATCGAAACACTTGTTAGCGAAGCTTTCCGATTTCCAAATTGGGTTGGAGCTTGCAGGCTCAACATGGTCAAACAGACCAGAAGGGCAGCCTATGTGTTCCACAGTAATATCAAACTGGAGACCATTGTCTTGCAATTGTGGATTGCTTTCAACCTCGCTGTGGCCTGGGCGTACAAACTGAGCTCTTGAAATTCTCCGGAAATAGGGAACGTCACAACTGACACCAGAGAGGTGATTGTACTCCCTTGCGACAATGTCTTCAAGCAAAGATATATCAGAGTCAGTCATATCTTCAGCTTTCGGACCCCACAAAACAAGAGACATCTCAGAAGACTCCTTTTCTGGGGACCCCCCAAAAACTTCAACCTCCACCAAAGAAGCGATCTGCCTGAGATTCTCGAGGGCTCCAGTTTGAACCAAAGTGTCAATGACTAGATTGAGGGCTTCAGTGAACTCTGTAATGTAAGGTGACCTGAGGACTTCTTCCATGTTGGCTGCACAGAAACAGATAGCTTGATCCTCCTTGTTGTTGGCAGCAACAAAGGGGACAAGTGGCATGTACAAAACGTCCTGGAAATTCATGGGATTCTCCGTGAACAAGAGTAGTTCATCGTCATCGCAATCACGGCATGATGCCACAATGTTGACGACCAGAACACCTGTGCTGGGAATGATTTCAGTGAGTTCGACGGATTCAATTCTTCGGTGGTAAGGTTCATCACATGCCCAAAAAGCTAACTCATTGAAAGTCTGCATGATGCTCTGTTCGATGAGAGCTTTCTCTGACTGGGAGAGGGCATCAATATTGTTGCCTGTGTGACCAGCATCAATAAAGATGACAGTTTCAAGGTATCCTACATCACGGCTGCATGTGTGCAGGGTGGAATCCTCAACAACATCAGTCACGTATCCACTGGTCTGTTCTACCAATCCCGGCTTGTTTGATGCATTGGTAATGATCTCATTGAGAGCTCTCACAAATTCAATTTCTGTAGGTGCCCTCCTTTCGGGAAAATCGTTGACACAGGAACAAGAGCTTGGGTGGGACTCGGCAATGGTGGTGTCTCTGTCGAATCCTTGGTCTTGATAGGTTGTGCGTTTCTGTTGTTGTTCCCGATGAATCATCAAGATGTGGTGACGGTAGTTGTGTCTGGCTCTCACAACGCCATCTCTCTTCCTATAATCAGATGTGTCTGGGTCGGCTGAAATGTCATCCTCCATGTTGTTTGGCTCTTGTGACATGAGGGCTGATGGATTGGCCGATTCCAGAACACAAGCTGTGGTCTTGGAAATATCTTGATGAAAAAAGATTGCTCCATGCAATTGCATGGTAGCTGGTTTGTCACAGAATCCAATAAGATCATAACGGATTCTTACGTTGACATTTTTGTTTTTGTTGTTTTTGTTTTCTTTGGAGAAGTTGTTGGCATCTTCCTCGAAAGCATCTGGCACTGCTTTTGAGTTGTCTGCGGGTTCTTTCGCATATGTCTCGACAAAGAATGATTTGCTGTCGTGATCTGCAATGGCTGAGAACAGCCTGCACTGCATTGGATCACAGTAGTCTTTTGACAGATTGTTATAGGTTTGTACGATGAGTTCTTCCATGAGCATAATTTCCGCTTCCAAGGGAGCGTTAAAGTAATTGTTGTTGCTGTTGAAGTCAGTTTGGTGTAGGTCCGTGTGGTGGTGTTGAGGAAATTGATGCATGACGTACAGAGACGTCTGCACAACTTCACTGGTGGCTGTACACGGGAACTGACTCTTCGAGTTGGTTAGAGGGTCGATGTTGCTATTATCATGGTCGTTGTGTTTGGTGTTTGCACTGGGGTGTATGGAGGACAGAGAGTCGGTGTTATCAATTGTGTTGGAATCATCGGTGTGGTGGACGTCGTCTGTCTTTCTGCTCCTAATGTTGGCAGCATCAAGAGCTCGGGCTTCAGCTAGAAGTGTAACAAGTGTCTGATCATGCGCGTGAGCAGGAGCACTGGCATCAGCAGTGCGAGAGTCCACAGCATCAGGTTGGTTTGTGATCTTGATTCCACTGGTTCTGGAATCTTGATCACCCTTTAGCGGTTTCTCCTCGTTGCCCTTGACGTTGGCAGTGTCATGGGCATCAGCATGAGCATTGGCATCAGCATTGGCATGAGCAGTGCGAGAGTCCACAGCTTCAGGTTGGTGTGTGGTCTTGATTCCACTGGTTCTGGAATCGTGATCACCCTTTAGCGGTTTCTCCTCGTTGCCCTTGACGTTGGCAGTGTCATGGGCATAGCATGAGCATTGCATCAGCATTGGCATGAGCAGTGCGAGAGTCCACAGCATCAGGTTGGTTTGTGATCTTGATTCCACTGGTTCTGGAATCTTGATCACCCTTTAGCGGTTTCCCCTCGTTGCCCTTGACGTTGGCAGTGTCATGGGCATGAGCATGAGCATGAGCACCGGCATCAGCGGTGCGAGCGTCCACAGCATCTGGTTGGTATGTGGTCTTGATTCCACTGGTTCTGGAATCGTGATCACCCTTCTGCTGGTTCTGCTCGTTGTTGTTGGCAGAGCCCTTGACGTTGGCAGTGTCATGGGTATCTGCGGTGGCATCAGCACTGGCGCGGGTGCGAGCGTCCACAGCATCAGGTTGGCTTGTGGTCTTGATTCCACTGGTTCTGGAATCGTGATCACCCTTCTGCTGGTTCTGCTCGTCACTATCGGCTACGCCAGGCAACTGTTGTTCCTGCTTGTGCATCATACTAGTAGCGTCGTTCTTGTCCTTGTCCTTGTCCTTGTTCTTGCTGAATAAACCGGATAGACCGAGCGTCCACTTTCCGATTCGTCCTTTTCCTCCTCCATCCGCGGTTTCCTCCTCTCCTAGTTGTCCTCCTCCCTGTGCTAGGTTACTTGCTTGTTTGGCTTTTGTGTCTGCATTGGCTCGCTTGGCGAAAACACTGATTGGCTTCAGCGCAACACCAAGGATGCAGACGGCTAACAACAAGTTCAAAAATCTCATCGTCTCTGCGCTGTGGACACCACACCACACAACACAACAGAGTAGAAAGCAGAAGGTGAGAAGAAGAGAAGAAGAGAAAAAGAGAAAAGAAATCGAATTTGGGCGACCGTTAACGTCGGACAGACAGACAGACGGCCAGACGGCATGGCGCCATGGTCGGCTTTTAATGGATCCAAAACCAGAAGCAGACCATGGACAATGATGAGATGAGATGAGATAGAAAAGCGGCTGACTTACACTAATCACTCGAACAGTACTGCTTCTACTTCACTAATACAAAGGTGGTAACGATACGAGGAACGTAACCACAAAAGCGCTATAAAACAGAAGAGAGTCCGAGGTGCGAAAAATTAGCAACCCTCCGCAGAGTGAGACCATGGAGAAGGAGAGAAGAAAAGGAAAAAGCACCCCGAGGGAGGAGCGGAACCGCGCTTCATCGAAGTTTATCGACAAGCTACATGGGCGATCCTTTTTGTTGGATCAGCCAATCAGAATGTTGTGCTACACCGCTGGGTAGTAGGAATCAAAAGTACAAAAACGTCTATAGTGTGTTTCAGGCAAATGACTGCTCTGAAACGTCACTACTGTAGTTTATGTTGGTCCGCGAATGGCTTGAAGATGCTGGAGAGTGGACGCCTAAGCGGCAGGAGCTAAGGAACTAGCCCAAACACATGTTTCGTGTTTAGAGAAGCGTAACCAGTGACCTGTTTGAGGCCATGCGTATTGGCCATGTGGAGCGGCGGGGTGTTGCTTGCAACTTCAAGGCCTCTCGGAACTGCTCAAGGTTAGGGTCATGATGTCATGTCCACCGTGACAGGAAATATTAAGTTTGGTTTTTAACGCATAGAGTACCGAGCGGTTCTTGAAAGAGATAAAGAAACACTAGTTCGATCGTGTCAAACGAGTTGCAATCACGATGTGACATTGCTGACGTGGGACTGACTGATTCCTCAAAAACCGGTGGGACGGGCGCAGCGAAAGGACGAGTGATGTGAACAGCAAAAATTGGAGCAAGAAGTCGTGTGAATGCAACCACTTACTTGCTTGCTGTCTCTGTCTATCGTAGCTAGCTACTAGAGAGATAGATAGTAAGAGAAGAGAGAGAGAGAGATCAAGTATTGTTTATAAGAGAGAGAGAGAGAGAGAGAGTGCTCAAGCAAGCTTGTAAGATGAAAGTAGATCATGGTAAAAAAGAGGATCACCATGTTGATGACTGTGAGTTTGAGTTTGAGTGTGGTTCGAATGATGATTTGAGCGTGGATGGTCAATCGAGTCGATCTCAAGAAATGGAGGAAGAGCAGCTGTTGGCAACCACCATGAGCACTTCCTTTCTTCATACAATTCCGGAAGGCAGCAGTGACATTGTAGGACCTGGCATGTTGAATCCTGCTAATTTGGCAAACTTGAACTTGTCAGTCACACATGCACATGCACAGTCACAAAAAGCTCCCACTTCCATTGCAGGCACTGCTGGATTGGGAGCATCAGTGTCAGCATCAGCTTCAGCTTCAGTCAAGCAGACCACTGGCAGTCCACACACTGCCAGTGAGCTGCATCATGATCATGACCTGGATCAGGACACTTACATGTATGGTGGTCATGGTCATGACAAACACACACACAAACACAAAAGGAGGACCAGGAGTCCTTCTTTCTCCAGCAAGAGAAAACTGGGCATTGTCTGTTCTGTCACTCTATTGGTGGTCATGTTGGTGGTTTTGATTCTCGTCATGATTGTGCACAATCTAGATCATGACAATGACAATGACAACAACCAAGCATACAATGACACCCACCCTGGTACCAACACCAACACCAGCAACCACACAGACTTTTCTTCTGATCCAAATCACATTGACTTGGTGGGAATGGACAACCAAACCAATTCCACCTCAATGGATTCAAGTCAAAATCAAGGCATCAATGACACTGACCAAACTCAAACTCAAAATGAACAACAGAAAACACCCTCCTTGGCACCCACTGCAGAAGGAACTCTCTTTGCAACTGCCAGCATCAACGACAATCCAAACATTGATGATATTCTCGCAGATGATGGCTTGTTTGCTGATGATGATGCAACTGCCACCGGGATACTCGACCTACTGGATCAAGCCATACTCAATCTATACACTTCAGATGATCCAAGATTCAATGTACTCGCTGACGTATCAGACCAAGTCTTTGGCGATCCACAATCACACAGATACCAAGCCAGAGCATGGCTACTCAACAATGACACACTCCTACAAAACACACTCAGTACCACTATCACTCTGCAGAGAATTACACAACGATACATCATGGCTCTTTTCTACTTTGCAACCCTACAACAAACAAACCAAGACAACAACAACAACAACAACAACAACAACAACAACAAACTACTACGACGAACAACAAGAAGAATCCAAAACACAAACACCATCAAATTCAACATTCAACCCGACATTCACGAGTGCTACTGGATAGACAATGCCTGTGGGCAGGAAGGATCCACGAACAATGCGCTCGCCACTACGCAAACTGCAACTACCACTACCAACGTTGAAGAAGACACACCCATTGTATACCTAAACATTTCAGATGCTGGACTCAAAGGAACACTACCATTCGAACTAGGATACCTCACCGAGTTAAGGGAACTTTGCATACACAAAAATCAACTACAGGGAACCGTTCCCGAACTCATCTTCGCACAGCTACAGTACCTTTACGTCGTCGACTTGTCACAAAACTACTTTCAGGGAAACATACCAACTGCCATTTGGACACTACCCACTCTAAGATTCGCATACCTACATGGAAACGCATTCACCGGAACTGTGCCCCAAGAACTAACAACAAACCCATCCTCTGATCTGGAAGAAATATGGCTCAGAGACAATCAACTCACTGGAGGCATCCCGCAATGGTGGACCACTCTCCCAAACTTGGATGTGCTCAGCGCAAGCAACAACTCATGGACTGGACATATACCATCTGACTGGTCACAGGCACAAAGCCTCGTTTTCTTGGACGTGTCTGTAAACCAACTCACGGGAACCATACCACCATCCCTACTCTATTCCGTGCCGTCGCTACAGTTCCTCTACCTCGATTACAACCAAATCGCCGGAACACTACCCACGATTGCTGAGAATGCTCACGAATTCGACTTTGCCGTCTCCATTAGCAGATCAGATCGCAGAATGGAAGTACTTTGGCTTCAAAATAACCAACTATCCGGAGTCATCCCCAATGGATTTGCGCGGGAATTCAAACGACTCCGCCAACTAGAACTACAAGGAAACAAACTCGAAGGAACTTGGGAATGCGTCGAACCAGGAACCGGTGATGATGTTTGGCCGCAATTGCAGGAACTATCACTGGATTGTCGCGCTGACCTAACAACAACAAGCGTCGAAAATTTCGGGACAAAGGATTCTGGCGCCAATGCGTCGTCTGGAGTTGATATGAGTCTTTGTGACGTATGCTGTATTCGATGCTTTTGATCCGGGTGAGTCCTCAGTCTCTTCGATTGGTTAACAATCCGGAACCTTTCCTTCGAGGACTTGGTGGAACTTTTTTTTTTCCCCCTCACGTTCGGTCTTGTCTCCTTGCTTGCTGAAGGTCCGCTTGCAGCAGGCGAGCCATTGAAGGGAATCCGTGGAATGGAAAAGTGCAACATATCATCGACAGGAAGCTGGCCGACGAAGACTTTGCTGGTGACCAAGAGTTGGTTGTTTTTCAGTCCACGCCCTATCACACGTGGAACAGTAACAGTTCTCCTTGGTCCTTGCTCATCCTCAAAGTACGGGTACTCCATCTTCCTATTGCCACTTGCTGAGCCTACGGTAGCTTGCTAGTGGCTGTTTTTGAAGCCGCGAGAGCGAGATGCCCGTGGTTGTTAAGTGTAGCGATAACATTCGCAAGAGCTGAAGTCACTGTACGTATGGTATCCGTCGCTAGAGTGCCTACTGTACCTAGTACCGGTAAGCAATACTGAACGGTAACTGGGACTCCTCGACAGTAGATCTGGAAACGAACGCACATGGGCGTGTGGTCGGTGAGCAGCATTGTTGGTTGGGAATACGTTGATCCCTCAGGGTCAGTGGGTCGCCTGCGAAGACCTCTTGTCTGAATACATGTTATAACAGACTTTGTAATTTTTTTTTTTGACATGTTGTACCTCTAATCACTAGCTATCATAGCTAGAATCGGTGCCGGTACATGTACAAGCACAGAAGGAGAGAAGTATTATTTCTTGCAGTTTTTAGCGAGCTGTCGATGCAATTTGCAACAGCTCTTTTAAAAATTTCAAAGCCTCCAACATAATTGCAGAAACCGACTTGCATGACCATGACATGGTCAAGCTAAACCGACGCCATGAATTTTCTTTGGCGGATTTGCCTTCTGTTGGCAGCAATCAAGTGGAGTCTTCCATGCTAGGATGAAAGGGGAAAGCATGTAAACAAAAGATGCCAGCAACCACAGCCAGGCAGATAGCTCCTGAGCAAGAGCAACGTTGAGGTCAAAAGCAGCATCCGCGTCAATGAATTGCCAGTATGTAGTCACAATACTAACGACAGAACTCGACCCAAACATCCCGTCGGCTACCCATAGAGCATACGACAAGGTTTCGATGCCATCGATCGGCCGAATGCTCTTTCGTAGCTTGAGCATGAAAGCCCCTTCGAGAAGATAACAGTGGTATGCAAGGGCACGAAAAAGGATGGCACCGCCTTCGCTGAAGCCAACACACACAGCACTCAGCATCATGGAGATTGAGCCTTGCACCAGCCAAATATGGAACACTTGGGCTTCTCGAATCCAGTTGACCGTTCCCGCCACCAAGAAGCAGAAGGAGGCGAAAAAGATGTACAGCTGTGTCAACGTCACGTCGATCTCCATAATTGATAGAATAATCGTTTCGTCCATAACATCGCTCTTTGAAACAAACGTCGCGATTGTTTGTGGTAGCAAAAGTTCGGTCGGTTGGGCTGTTCGTGGATCTTTCGCTTTCGTTGGGGATGCAGTTGGTGGTTTAGTCGGCTCTTTTGAAGGAGCTTCTGAGGGGGGTGGATCTGTAGGAGTGACTGTTGCCAGTTTTGTTGCCGTTTGCTTCGATGCCTCTTTCGGCTTGTGTGTTGGTGTTGGTGTTGGTGATGGCGTGGTTTCAGAATCACTTGCCTCTACCAAATCATGTTGCGCAGCATTGCTGCTAGAAACATTGGGGGGGCTTCCCAGGTCCTTTTCGTCTTCGGTAGACAGCGTGCTTGGACTATCTTCGTTATACACTGGTTCGTCTCTCGTGTCCTTGCGACTTCCGAATTCGTCCCAGTTGTTTTCCGAGTACCCGAGCAATGATGCATTTTCCTGCTGTGCCATCGTGAGTTCATTCCAAGTTAAGGATTCCGTGAATGCAGGCCCACCAGAGACCCATAGCTCTTCGTTGTATCCCAATATTTCCATTGCCGCCTTGATGTCTCCTGGAAGCTGCTCCCAGCTCCATTCTTGTTGCCATTCTGATATTTTGATCGTGTAGCTTGAGTTGATGCTTTGCATTTCTGTTGACTGGTAAAGGCGACTCGAGTTTGACGAATCCAGCACATTTGATGTAGAGCCATTCTTAAAATTCGCACCGGTAGCAGTAACATTGTCAGTCATGATAGCTTCGACGGTATTATGCTCGGTAGGCCCCGCACCATTCGACTTGACTTGTGTATTGTAACCATTATTGTGCCATTGCTGATCAAATTCGTAGTTGTCCTGTTCATATTCAAAATTGTCCCATAGCTCCTCGTTGAAGCCCAACAGCTCCGCAGCTCCTGTCTCGCGTTTATCTAACTCTGCCCAATGCCAACCCTCGAGTTGTGATTTGGGGTTTCCATCCCAAGTGCGCGCGTTATGCCACAGGTCATTTAATGCCTCTCTAGTGTCAGCGGGGAGATAATTCCATTGTAGCCCGTGGTACTCTCCTAGCGGTATCAGTTGCAAATGCCTTGGTTTGGTTCGGCCAAGTCTTCTCGATTCATAGCTTCGCTGTCTCAAATAAGTTTGCCATGTGGCGTCATCGTCGGCTTGGAGAACAGAAACAGGATACTCTTGGATTGACCGTGCCCAGCTTCGTTTGCCGTGCGCTCCAAGGACTTGCAAGATTGAACCAAGCAAGAAGAATCCATTGGCAAAGATTGCCCACCGAATCAGCCTGCTTCTACGGTTTTGGCTTTGAGATGATACCGTGTCTAGGCCTAAATCAGATAGAGGATGGCTGCTGCCTTCGTCATCCATCATGTCTGTGGTTGCTTGTTTTTTTCCGATTTTGTATGCCATTGTCGGCGGCAGTTGCTGTCGCTTCAGACTACTAGACTTGTACAACACTTGCTTTGTGAATTCCCCTGGGTAACAACCACGAGTTCGTGCGAACCTAAATTTTGGCCTCTGCAAAAGTTGTGTGAGCCTTCCGTTTTAGTCGTTTTTCCCAGGGTACGACTCCCGCGCCAAAAACCAAAAGAGGAGGCCAAAGATTCGTTGAAGATTCCTTGGAGTGCGAGCTGGAGCATGGAACAAGAGCTGGGACAAGCCACCAAGCCCAGTCCAGTCGAGTCCTAGCTAGTTGTTCTTTCTGCACGAACCTCTGCATTTTGTGGTTCGCCCGTACATTCAAATCTATTATGTGTAACTAGAATATCACTCCCGAATATCTTGTATTGTGAATTCTCATTGATACGACAGCTGCAGCGACGACCAGGATGTATATTTGGATCACGTTAGTTCCATGCATGCAGTCACCGCGGTGCTGCATGTCACTGCAAGTTAGCCAAGCTTCGCTTGTATTAATTTCTAGTAGAGGGCTGCTTCAAACATGAACAGCATCTCAGTAGAGCGAGGGCTCACTACGAAAGCATTGTTCTTGCGATCACTGAGATCGTGCTAAACTTGGTCCTCGACAATCTCGCATTCAAAATTGCCCAACATTTTGACTGATACAGTGGAACATGTCGACTTCGACTTGCCACTGCTGTGTGTCCCATCAGAGTCATTGCCTGAATCGTTGCCACCAACGTGTAAGCTGCCTGCTTGGATTACAGTTCGGATGTACTGCATGTCATCATCGCTTTTGGGGATGGACCGACGGCACAGCGAGCTTGTAAGAAACAAACCTATTTCAATGACTTTCAGGAACAAGACCAACATGGGAATAAGCACAGATGTTAAGGTGATTGGTGGCATTCCTCCTGGCCATTCGTCTTGCAAGTGATCATCCCAGCCCTTGAATCCCATGATGATTACATGAGACGTTCCGAATGCAAGGGCTGCCCAAGCCAATGGACCATAGATCAGCTGAAAACAAAAAGATGAGACGGCGAAGCACGGATGGAACTGGTTTGAGAGGGTCTCACGATCGCAATACTTTTGCTGTGCCACGGAACTGAACTCAGCAAAACGTACCTGCCATTGTTGGTTTGTCATATTTGAACTGACAGAGGGTAGAGAAGCCAGTCCCAAGATGAAATAAAACATGGAGCCAACAGTGGCAAACAAGAAGGATGTTTCACCGATCACATTCATTTTGGAGGTATTTGCAGTTGGGTCAATGAAGAACTTGCCATAATAGGCAGGGTTGAAAAGGATCATGCTCATGAGAATGTGAAGCCCCAAGAACCAGAGTGAGAGAATTCCCAGCTCTTTCCGCAGTTGCAGCGCCCATTTCAACGTAGGAGAAAGATCGGAGAGGTTACTTCGGAAGTAGTTGCCAATGCGCGCAATGACTCCAGGCAACTGTGTGAGGGCAAATCCAGTGATGGCTGTCCAACAGATGGCTTTGTTGGTGACCTTTTCGTGGGCCGAGAAGAGAACATAGCTCGGGTGAGCAACGTGCATGCACTACGAAGTAAGTCAGATCGTCCTAGTTTCATGTACGTACCTGCATCGGAAGATGAAACCACTCGTAGCCCTTTTCGACGTTGTACCGCCAGCATGCATAGAACTCAGTAAGAACGAAGATGACGATCAAAATGTAGGCGGAATGGGCCCACTGTTGGCCAATGCTATTTTGATTTCTCGCAATATCCTCGTATCGAGAGTACGGGACAACCTTGACATCGATGCCAAACGATTCCTGTGCAAGTCGACGAGCGACCTCAATTGCGCTTTTGCTGGGAGAACACATCTTCGTTACGATCCTTTTCTTTGTGGTGACCTTGTTGGTAAGGATATCGACGGCCCCGAGATCGTTGAACGCCTTGACCCATCGAATGTTCGTGTTCGTGACGAGAGATTCGAGGTCTTCTCCTTCCCGACTTGAATTGGTGCAATCAATCAAGACCTTGTCCTTTAGCGCCATGATGTAATTGGGAACGAAGGACTTGAGCGCCTTGGCCGGGATGGCGAGAATTACGATATCGGCGTGTTCCAAGGCTTCGTCGATAGGACTCAACGGGACTCCTGTTTCATGAAAGCTCTTGCCACTCTCTTGCAGCGACGGCTTTGTCACCTCTAGAAAATTGCCCGAATCATTGGTATTGTTGATATGAAAGAGATGGGCAAGTGCGTAGGCCAAATCTCCTGGGAGCGATGCAAGAAATAGTTTTTGAAACCTTGATATGTGAGCGGCACGTGATACCGTTGTGTATGTGACAGGCATAACATGACACAATTTCCCACGTACCTGTTCCGACAATTACTGTGTTCACCATGACGATCGATGTGGCGTTTGCAACTTACGGTGCGTAACTTCTTGTTTGGTTAGCAGAAAAAGAAATTGTGGCACCAAGCATCGACATTGGGCGTTTGTCCAACGCTTGGCACCAACAACATCGCGCACTTCGACTGGCTCTTACCCTGATACATGGTCATATCTATCCGCACGTTCATGGTTACAGCGCACCTCGCACGAGCGTTGGGACAAAAGGCAAAAATGAGCCATGGGAGCTTCAGCAACGGTCTATCCGGATAGTAGGTTTGTGGATGTAGATGGGCTATTAGCTACTAGAGTAGAACCTTGAACCTCCATAGAAGGAGGTTTAGGCGCAAGTGTTGCAGAGATACCCGGCTTTCCATCGTGTACACTTTGTACGTGCATGTTGGAAATACTTATTGTCATTTTAACTACAGGCTACTAGTACGGTACGCATACGGTGCGTGGGCTCATCTTGGACCTCCGACATCGAGAGGCGGAGATTCTGATTTGATTCTTGGTTGTCGTCTTGCCTCTGCAGCACCTCACGTAAAAGAGAGTGGCTTTGCGGAAAAAGGTTAAAAAGGAAGAAATGTATATTTCTGAAAAAGTCAAATTAGTAGGTGTTTTAGCCCAAACCGCAGAGTCTCTAATCGAGACCCTGTCTTCTTTTGAAGATGCTGTCTTCTGTGCTCCAGAAGACAGCATCTTCAACAGAAGACAATGTCTTGTACTTTTTTTAAAAAAAAAGACGTGGTCTGCAGACACTGCCCAGCAGGGCTGGAAGGTGGCCAATTTAATTTTACATTTTAAATTTTGCTTTTTCGCAGAATCAATCATTTACCTCCAGGTGCTGCAGTGCGTGACGTGCTGGCTGGTACAGCTTCTTAGACTAGCTAGCTAGCTAGTAGCGTAGGCTGGGCCAGTTCCAGCTCGTCGGAGCTAGCCAAGCTACATGTATCAGTGTACAGTGTATCAGCGGTGCAAGTGGCCTTCATCAGCTATCCGGGCCGACCGTGTGGATTCGATTCACTGGGGTTTCCCGCTGGTCGGCTCTGTCTGAAAATGACAGTGCAAGAAGCGAAGCTAATATCTGGTACCGGTGCCAGGTAGGCTCTCAGGTCAAGGAAGCGCAGCAGTTCATAGAGGATGCTGGCTGCCTGAGACCTCCACTTTATTAGCGTCCAATTCACTATCCAGTGGCAAAGCCCATCGGTGGGCATCATCAGTATGGAGTTGAAAAGCAAGACCAATTCTAATTTCCAGTCAGGAAGAGGCAGCGAGTACCTGCGGTGTGCACATGTTAAGAGTTAAAATGCTAGCTAGAGCTAGCTCTAGTCACTGAAGATAGGGATTGAGAGAAACATGAGGAGGGTAGAGACCATAAAAAGATGCAGAAGAAAGATGAGCCTAGCTAGTAGCTACAAACCCATATCACATGTGTGTGTGTGTGTGTGTGTGGACGTGGCTGCAGCGTGCCGATACGTGGCTGTGTCTGCCTATAGGTCGTCCACGGCATCAAATGGAATCAATGACAATGACATGTCATCGATGTCGTAGAAGGACCCACTCGAGGAGCTTGATGAGTTGAATATGTCGTCCATGTCGTCACGATCATGGAACGGTTTGTCGCTCATGTCTACAACGTCTTCGCTGCTGCTTCTTGGAAGATCTGGTGGTCCCTCGTCAGCCATACCTTCTCCCTTCGGACCATTGTCATCGCCATCCTCTTCTTGGCCAACAATGTTATCTTCGCCCATATGATGCTCGCCCACTTGGTCGTCAATGGAATCTTGCATGGAATCTTGGGAACTAACGATGCTCTCCCGTCTATCAACCTCTTCGTAAAAGCTTTCATCCAATTCTGGCAGATCGAACTCGCCATCCAACGGGAAATTCATAATCTCATCAGGGTCTAGAGCGTTGAAGCTGACCCTCTTGGCCATCTTCCTGGCATGCTTGGCCTTTGAACTACTCTTGTACTTGACGTGTAGACAGTCCCTGAACCACGCACCAACCTGAAGCAAACAGCTAGCCAAAATGAGAAAAAGGGAGGCAAGAATAGAGGTTTGTACCATTCCACAATTCCCAGTTTCTCACCTTTTCTCGGGCATAACGTGAGGATACCTCCCACCAAACTCCATTCTCACACTTGACGAAAGCCCCTTGAGGGCTTGCCTCTCGGATGATGGACATTGCTTTTGACACAATCTTACTCTTTTCTGACTTTCCAGGAGCATCAGCATACTCATCAAGGTACTTGTTGATGATCTCACGAAACCGTTTGTTCTGTTAGGAAGGAGCAAACAAAGAAAAACCAGAAGAGCAAGAAACACGCACGCGTATCCTAGTGAGCGACGAGATCGTCAAGGAAAACATCAAAAGTGAGCAATTGGGTTTGACCAACTTACTCCTTCACTATCAAAGCATTCCTTGCCCCTTCCACAGATCACCGAATAAGAGGTTGGCCGAAAATCAGGAGCAAGCCGCCTTTTGGCGTGGTTTGTGGAGGGCTTGGTTCTTCGGTATGGACGTTTCTTCCTGATCTGGACCTGGTTCTTTGAGCTTGTAGGAGAGGAGGGTGGAGACACGATTGCCGGGGTGCTTTGGGATGTGCATTTCGATAGTTTCTGGAGTGTCATTTTTTGGTTGTTTGTGAGATTTGCTAGATGCAGAGTGTGATGTTGTTTGTCTGATCAGGAAAACCGGACTGCTACTAGCTTCAGTGTGACAGAGGAAACGCTAGTACTGGTAATGGCCAATCGTGTCATTTAGTTCCACAAGCCAGAACTTCAAAATTATGTGAATGTTAGGTGCTTTTCCTCTTTGGCCCACTCCAAAGTGGCACAGTAGTTGGTTTTCTGTAGAAACTGGCTCGTACCGATTACTTGGCCAACAGTAAAGATCTGCTGATCCTGTTAGTCATTGGAGTATCTTGTGATCATGTCACCCAAGCGCAGGTCCACCATGCTCTACTATAAATCGATGTGTAGGAGACGAAATATCAAATGGAGCCCGTCAATGACCAGTGGTCTAATTAAAGGAACTGGTGTCTTTATTTCGTGTTATGTATCAAACGTCAGAAATCGGTAGAGACATGTCCTTCGAGAAATCAATCTAAGTGAAGGCTTCTTGGGACATTGGATCTTCGGATAGATAGAGGTCACTGTTTATGGTATCCAACTACTTAGTCACTGTTTTTCTTCGGGCAACCTTTCCCACAAGAATGTTTAGTTTTGTGTTCATTCAGTGTATCCGTGAATAACCAAGATGAACTAACTATCTTCTGCCGGCTGTTGCTAAGATTGATACATACGCTAGGATGGCTACACTTCATTCAGCAACTGGTCTAATTGGGATGACGGGCCACGCAAGCGCCGGCACCATTGCTGGCTCAGGCTCAGACGCAGTCGCAGCCAAGCAGCAGTCCAGAGCAAGCTTTGCTGTGACGGCTGGCTGCTCTACCGTAGCTAGCTAGCTAATAGCTCGTGGCTTGAAACGGAAATGAGCAATTCATGTTGTTGGGCTGCTATAAAGGCGGAGCACTTGCTTGCTCAAAAACAAAACTGCCACTCGTATTGTGCTTCCGCTGGCACAGATACGTCAGCAACATCACAGCACTCGAGGAATGCAGCCAGCTTGGTGCTTGATCTGCAGCGGTTCCGGTACCGTGCTGGTACTGTATTCATGGCAAACTCTCCGGATAGCCAGCCATAAGAGCACTGGTCCTCTGATCACTGCTGCTTCTGTTTTTGGCTCTGGCGAAAGGAAGTAACGGTACTGGTACCGTAGTACATGTACATGTAGCTCCTTGGTGTGCGACCTACGGTACCGGTAGTACCGGTGTGCATACATATAAGAAGACTAAACAAATGAGTTAGTTTTTAAGCTTACTAGTAATAGCTAGAATACGTACTGTTTTAAACATAGAACTAGTCAGAGTGGTGGTCAGCCAGCATGGTCACAAGAAGAGCAACGATGAATGAATTGCTCGCCAATTGCTGTGACGCTGTGACTGCGGCGCAGCCAACCAACCCTTTGTGGACTTTTGCCACCCTGAAAGTCATCACTGTCGTCCCGTGATAGATTGTCGCCGTCGTTGTCGTTGTCGCTGTCGCTGTCGCTGTCGTTGATAAATAGTGAAAGGATGAAGTTTCTAAACTACTGAATGCAAATAAATATTGTCTGACGTCTGGCTTTCTTTGCCATTCTTTGGTAAAGGACTGGATGCAGGTGTATCCTACGGTTCGAGGCGATCGAATGGAATGAGACAGAGGTCGTCAATGTCATAGAAAGCCTGCTGCTGAAGGGGATCAGCCAAGTCCGGCGACGATTGCTGCAACTGTTGCGCCTGTGCTTGTACTTGTGCCTGAATTTGTTGTGCCTGAGCTTGAGCTTGTGCCTGTGCCTGTGCCTGTGTACAAGCAGCCGCAATGGCCATTCTTTGGTGTTCATGTGCTTGAAGGTGTGCAGCAAAGTTGGACGGGAAGTTGAAAACTGCGTTAGGATCAACGAGTGTTTCAATAGGAACGTCACTTGTTCGTTTTGCCATTTTGCGTGCATGCTTGGCCTTTGAACTGGACTTGTATCGATGGGAAAGGCAATCCCTGAACCAAGCACCGACCTATGCATAGATAATGCGTTGAAAGGAGGAAAGAGAGTGAAACGTTGAGTTAGTTGAGCCTGCATTTGTGTAGTGGAGTACCATACGGTATTGGATACAATGTCATTGCATTGCATTGCATTGCATTACCTTCTCCCTGGCATATCTGAGGCTGACTTCGTGCCATGTTCCAGTTTTTGCATCGAACTTGACGAATGCGCCCTCTGGGCTAGCCTTTCTGATGATGTTCATGGCCTTGGTAACAATTCTTGACTTTTCAGACTTTCCAGGAGCGGCAATATAGTCTTTTAGGAACTTGTTTATGATCCCCCGGAACCGTTTGTTCTGCAATGCAATGCAATGCAATGCAATGTAATGTCAGGTTCAGGTTCAGGTTCATGTACAGTATGACATACGTGTAAGACATTGTTGTGTATATACTGTAGTGTGTAGTGTGACGTGTGACTTACCCCTTCAGCTTCAAAGCAATCCTTTCCCCTTCCACAGATGACCGAGTAGGAAGATGGTTTGAAATCGTGTGGCAGTTCTCTCTTGGCGTCAATATTGACCTCTGGTGCATGCCAGTCCGTGTCCAAGGTCATGTTGGAGTTGATGTCCGTATCCACGTCTAGAAGAAGCCTGGCGCCATTTTCTTTGCTAGCATCCGTATCGGTTTCAGTGTCGGTATCAGTACTGGTACCGGTACCGGTACCGGTATCGGTATTGCCGCTGTCACTGTGTGTGAGATGGATCTTCAAATTGCACTTGACGGGATTGGGAGAGGTGGGAGGCGACACAACTGCCGGCTGCACATGCACATGCACTTCAGCTTGATCTTGAGCTTCCACCTCGGCTCCTGTCTCTGGCAAGCGAAAGCCATCGGGCTCCTTCAGCTTGAGCTTGAGCTTGGCGTTTCCCATCTTCAGACTTTCAGACTTTCAAACTTTCAGACTTTCAGATTCGACTCAAGTCTACTCCAGCCATGCAGTACCAGTATGGAAGTCAACCAACTCTGTTCTCTCCACCTTGTCCCTACTATTGGACTAGCTAGTAGTATGCATATGAGCACTCGCAACACAACAGAAGACAGCAGCATTCATGTACTTGTACTTGTACTTGTACTTGTACGCTGTAGCGATACGGTACCACCAGGCAACAAATTGCACCTCCAAGATTTTTAAAATTTATCGGTCGTCGCAGCATTGGCCGAACAACGTCATCCACGTCATCCGACTGGCTGGTTATTCCAGAGTATCAAGGACATTATTGCTAAATCCTTTTCGTCACCATGTAAACACATTGATACACACTGTACTAGTAGCTAGTAGCTGCCATTTCCTTGCCGGATGCACTCCCACTCTTTCGATCGGCAACAGCCAACAGCCAACGTAGATCTTTTTCATCGACATCTGGCAACTCGATCATTCAATTGTTTGCCGGCTTCACATCTGGCAGCCACCAAAGATAGACAGATAGATATATATACCATCTCCAAAGGGTACCGTACGCTAAAGATCCAACCTATCTTCTTTATTCATGGATACACGTAGTATCTTTCCGGCAGCTAGCTAGCTACTACATGGCTGGCTGGCTGGCTGTGGAAGCATGCTGCAAATGGATCTGTTCGCTCATATCATATCTTAGTAAAGCTATGGTACCATCTGGCACCAGGCACATCCAACCCAACAAAAAGATACTCCTCCTCCATCCATTGCTTCTCAAGTAGTATCTTTTCCTTCTTGCCAGATGCTCTGCCTGCCTGCATGCCTTGCTGCTTTTGCATTGCACTGCATTGCGTTGCGTTGCAGCCATTGCTTGCTGGCCGCAGCACACGGTACCAGTACATGTACTACTGTACACCAATATGGTAGCCAGCTAAGCAAGCAAGCAAAAGAAGAAGAACATGCAAGCCCCGATGAATTGCTTTATTTCTTGTTCGGCCGCACTAGAGCTCGGAGCCGAGCGACTACCAGTATGGCATAGTAAAGCAAGGAACAAGCAACGCTGTGTCTCCGGTACCGGTACGTACCGTATTGTAAAAGCAAGCTTAGCCATCCTTCATCGTTCATTCAACATCCAACCAACCATGCTACAAGTATATGTAGACTACTAGCTAGTACATGTACCGTAGCGGTAAGTTTTGTCCGGCGCTCCGAGGAAAGCGGAAGGGTTGTGTGTTGTGTGCCGTGGGGAGAAACCGAGGAAAATAGAAAATTGTCGTTCCAACTACATGTACTATAAATAAATAATTAAGGTGATTTCTCTGAATGACCGGACGATGGTCGAGCAGCGAGGAGCGAGCTTCAAGTTGGACCGACAGCGACGAGCGAACAACCGACCATGGGCATACAGGTACTAGTCTACCGTACCGTACCGTACCGTACTGATACGGGAAGTGAACTACTATAATAGTAGTTGACTGATTTGAAAGTCATGGCAAGTGCTAGTACTACTACTACTACTGGTGCTACTGGTGCTACTACATGTACCAGTAGTAGTACCAGTGGTGTGGTTCGTCGAGTGCATTTCAGTGACAGTGGACATGCGTGCCGTGAGTTTGAAATGTACGGAGAGGATGAAGCTTGCAGTATCTGGTATGACTGCAGTGACTACGACGCAATGAAGGAGTCGTTTGCGTTTGTGATTTTCATGATGGACGCAGGATGTCCCGACAAGGTGGAAGATGAGAATCACACGACGCGTGGTTTGGAGAAACGCTGTGAAGAGGGCCAGTGGACTCGCTATGAGCGAAAACGGGATTACTACGATGCTGTGCTGGACGAGCAAGAACGGCAGTGGGAACAAGATGAAGAGGAAGACGACCAAGAGAAAATCAGCCAGATTGCGCAGCAAGTCAACCGAGAATCACGGCTAGAAGCGTACGATCAGGGAGTGCTAGATGAGATCGATGTCTATGGGCATTCACTCAGACTTAGGTATATGCATACACGCGAACAAGGGGATACATTGAATTCTTGTATGCATATGCATATGCATATGCATATGCATATGCATACCGGTACTGACACAGATGCGGCTACAGTGGACCTCACACTCTCTTCCACAAACTCTAGTAGTACCAACTCAAACAGCTTTACAAACAGCTTTACAAGCCAAGGCCAAGGCCAAGACAGCCAGCATGCACTGCCACAACCACAACCGCAACCACAACCACAACTGCAAGTCCTATAACCAGTATACTACCGTACTTATTAGACTACATGTATTTCAAGGTTTCTTCGTCACTTGCTGTTGGTACTATTAATTATTAATAGTAGTATCATACTGTATCATCAATGGCTTTTACATTACAGCTAATCAAGTAATCGGATATTGCCTAGCTAGAACCGTTGGATTTGCCCATGCCTCCAATCCCATCGTACATGTATTACTATTAATAGTACCTCTTGCCTCCCCATGGTCGAATCGAGACGTTGTGGAAGCTCAAGGTCTTCTTCTTGTTGCCCGTTGTTGACGTCTTTCTAGCTTTGGCTGCGTCAGCTTCTTCTGTGGCTGTGCTGGTCCTGTGGCTGCTGTCTTCGATGCTTCGATGACAGCATCATTTAGACTCTACACTTAGTTTGTCTTCCGTGTGCTCTAGCTGCTAGATCTAACTGTATGCCTACTAGCTAGCTAGCTAGACTAATTAGAATAGCCAGCTATCTACCAGTTACACATTCGGGAATCGATTACAAGAGTCTTTTAATGTGTACTGTACGACATGAGCAGTTTAGCAGGCTTACATGTAGTTCAGTTCAAAGCGTCCGACACGTCGAAAGGATTTGTTTTTTTCTGTGACTGAAACATTTATGATGAGTCTCAAAGATTACAGCCACTGGCAGAAGTTTTGTCACGGATTTGATTTGGTGTGGCCCAAATAGTAGAGGGCTGAGTTGTGTAGGACAGGATTTTAAATCGCTAAAGAGGGACTGAAGTACAACAAAGTCCACAGTGCATCAGTTTCTTTCCCACGAGTTCGTTTTTTCATAAACATACTGTACATGTATGATACATAAGCCATACCCCATACCGGTACTCACAGACTCGACGCACTCACACCAACCACACCACCAACCACCAACAACCGTCACAAAGAAAAAGCTGCGACCAGCAAGCAAAAGCAAGAAGCAAAAGACCAAGACCATGATACGATTCTGGTGTGTGTTGACGTTGACAGCGCTAGTCCATGTCTTGAATGTGCGTGAATCCGTTGGGATGATCCGCATGCAATTCGACGACCGTCCCAACGTGGAGCATCGTCGCTGCCAAAAGGCCAAAGTGAAGAAACGCCATCTGGTGCGCTTGCACTACAATGCGTCCATTGACGAGAGTTCTCCTGTGGGGACACCTGGGCAGGAAGTGGAGAATACAAGGCGGACTTTTAGCAGTAGTGCTAGCACTGCTAGCAGTAGCGCTAGCAGTAGCAGTCCCATAGAGATCATAGTGGGAGTGGGGCAGACTGGTTGGGATCAAGCTCTAGTCCATTTGTGTGTGGGCGACAGAGCCAATCTGATTGTGAATGCTCCTGATGCTCCTTATGGAATTGAGCGGTACCGAGACAATGTCCCTAGAGGAGCTGTTGTCAGAATCACTCTGGAAATCATGGACACTCAACCAGCACCAGTCAAACTCAGAGACCACGACTCTTACTTGTTCAGTGGAGCTGACAAAAACAACGACAAACAGTTAAGTCAAAGAGAATTCCTGTACTATTTCAAGGACAAAAAAGCCAGGATTGGAAGTCCTCATTACCGACAAGTGCTCAAGGAACTAGGGGACCTCTTTGCAGAACTGGATAGAAATGGGGACAAGTACCTCACTCTAGATGGTAAGACTCGTCACTCATCACATCCACCAATATATTCATACAGTACTAGACTAATACCAGGTAACTCACTCTTGTCTATTCTACCGGTATCTATAGAATTCACATTCCACAAGACAAGTGTCCACTACCGAACAGAGCTCCGACCCAAAGACGAATTTGACTTTTACGATGACAACAAAGATGGAAAACTAAACAAGAAAGAAATTGAAGGATTCTTCAAAGCTATCAAGAGAAAGGTGCCCATGGACTACTGGAAACACATGGACAAGAACAGAAATGGATACATTTCATTTGAAGAATTCACCAAAAAGGCATACCACAAGTACACCACTGATGAACTATGATCTGTACCGGTACTGGTACTGTCTGTAGTCTACATACACTACTTACTTTTATTGTACAATTCATACATACATACATACATACTGTACATGTAATAAACTCAACTACACCACTTAATAATAGTATATACAGTACTAGTTTAGCAGTGGTTTTGAGCTTTACCAGTAGCCCTGGTACAAAATCCTACGCAGCGAATGGCTCAATACCCACTTTGGATTTACAAGTGTAAACGGTACTCAATAGACTTAACACTATAGTCGAATGAGAACATCCAAGAAGGCCAAAATGTGACCGAAATCAACCTCTTTTATTAAAGTATATGCTTGTCTCTTATGTTTGAGCTGTCACAGCAAATACAAACAATAAAGCACATTAAATTTGGAGTTAATTGCACTGGTGTTGATCCATTCTTATTGGAGTTAACAGAAGTTGTGGACTATTTTACAGCCAGAAAAGGAACTGTGTACTGTTTTACTATAGCGAAATGGATGTATTTTTTTCATGGCTCAGGACCACCCTTAAACTAGTACATTGCATTACATGTACCGGTATGGCATACAATACATCGGTTTGTTGCGTGCTTGCTTGTTGTACATCGTACGGTACATTCACATTTCACATGTACGGCTGTGTGAATCGAATCATTGCATCATTCTACATGTACATGTATTCCTACCGGTAAAGCTCACCTCGGCAGCAGCGGCAGTCTACTAGTCTAGCTAGCTAGTGCATGTAACTCGAAAGTCAAGTCGAGTCGAGTCGAGTCGAGTCGAGTCGAGTGACAGTCAAGTCAATCAAGTTGGGATTGTACCACGTACAGTCGTACAGTATTATTAATATAGCCTGTTCGAAAGGCGAAGGGAATCCTTTATGTCGCAGGAGACATTCGTTGGACGATAGGTCGTGCTTTGTTGGTCGTGGTTGTCAATCACGCGAATAGTTTAATTAAGATGGTCGAAATGCAAGCTGTTGGCATTGGCAGAGGATGAATTCGTGTACTGGTTTGAACGTAGGAATCCGTAGGTGCAGGCCTGGCTTCGCCGCACAGCGCGATCCAAACCAATCTGGTGTGTGTTCTCGCCTTGTCTCGTTGACCTTGGTTGACCGCAGAAATCTTCTTTTGGCAAGAAATGCTACGGGGGTCGCTGTAGGTTTTGTACTGGAGGCATTGATTTCGGTGTGAGCCCCGTCGAAAGTGAAGCAATCCCAGCATAAACTAACAAGCAGCACTCCGCACTCGGTAATCTGTTTTGTTTTGTTGTTTTGTTTTGTTTTGTTTGTATTGAGCGATCAGAAAGGACCCTTGCTACTGTACAGTACGAGTACGGTATTGACAAGAGAGTTTGGAGTGGCGTGGCTGTGTTTGTTTGTGTGTCTGTCTTGATCTAGCTAGCAGTAGCAGATCTAGGTAGAGTGGGTCGTGTGTCAAGACTTCGTGTGTCTGTCAATAGCATGACAATGACGGCAGCGGCAGCAGCGGGAGAGAATGACTTGGTCTTGAATTCTCCAGAGAGTCCCTCGGTGAGTGGTCTGTATCGTCAATTGATTCAGAGCCACTGTGAATCCTACCATCCCATCAATGACAAGTCAAATGACATGGACAAAGACAAGCCCAACCAAGAGCAAACAGATTTCATCCAAGACAAGATTGTCACTGCCATGACCAACCAAGGATCCAAATTCTGGATGTGGAAACAGCAACAGCAACAGCAGAACAGTCTCTTGGTGCTCTTGGATCCAAATCAGAATCCTTCCCACAAAAGTCACATTCTCGCCAGAATTCATTCCGATCTCGTTCTCACCTACAACCGACTCAAGTGCAAACTCAATCAGAAACAGATCGTTCCATCCCATTGTCTTCCCTCGGAAAAGGATGTCGTGCTGGGAGAAGGAAAGGCGCTCTATGAACCTACTTTTTATCAGACTCTCATGGACAACCACCAAAAAACGTACCATCTCATTACCAACGCAAGTCTATGGAACACCCGACTCAAGTACATTCAGACTCACATCATACAACCCATTCAAAGCAAACAAGGACGCTTCTGGCTCAAAAAGGAAAACAGCTCTTCCACTCCCACTTCTTCGTGCTGGGAACTTTTACATCCAAACAAACCCACTCACCAAAAACTCATCTTCTACAGTATTCATAGAGGATTCACTGATCGACAACATGACATCACTACCAATGACAACAATGACAGTATCGCCTTTGCTGCCATTGTCTCTCCGGACAAACATCTACCGCCCACTCACAACGACAACGATATCGCCGATAATACCGTCTCCGCATCATCCGTCACCTTGCAAACAACACCCCAGTCGCAACCAGACTATGACGAACTCGATGCTCTTGATCTAGATGCATTCGAAGGGGCAGAAGTGGAGGATTACATGAACATGACATTCGACATGGACGAGGCCGCCACTGCTGTGGATGGAACCGTTGCAGAGGAACCCGATTTCAATATTGGAGATCCCAACAGTCATCCCTGGATGATGCAGGGAACTGAGACTGCCCACAGCAATGACAACACTAATTGTGTCACTCCAGAAGCTACAGTTCACTCAAACAACAACAACACAAAAACTACTACTAGCACCAGAAGAAAATCTGCACGCAAACCGAAACCGACAAGGAGGGCATCCGAGGCTTCCACGGCCGCCAGAAAGTCCAAAAGAACTTCCAGGCGCGCATCAGCTTCTGCTTCTGCTTCTGCTTACGACGAACAAAGCTTGGACACGGAACACGAAGACGAACTGTACACCGTCCCCAGCCGCACTGCCGAAAAGAGAAAACCTTTGCCACCATCGACCATCGAATACCTAAAGGCATGGATGATGAGCCCACAACACATTGATCATCCATACCCAACCGAACAAGAAAAGGAAAAGATTATGGCTGATACGGGAATTGAAACAAAGCAGCTCACCAACTGGTTCACAAACAACCGAAAACGATACTGGAAACCAGCAACAGGGGCTGCAGACAACCAGGCCAAGGTGTCGCCAACAAACACGCCGAAAAGAGGAAAGGAACTTCCCGCGCTCACACCAATCAGGGGGAAACAGCTCCCACCTCCACCGCCTGTTCTGGGGCCCACAAGGGCTTCAACTAGGCGAGCTTCGGCATCCAAGAAAAAACTGACAGTGACAAAGAGTAGCAGCGTGGCGGCTGCGGCAGCAACCAAGAAGGCCGCTGGCACTCGCGGAAGAGGCAAGCAGCTGGCAAACATCTCACAAGTCCCCTCACATGCCCCTTCGTCCGCAGGTCCAGTACGCACCCACATCATGTCGAGAGAAATCATCACGGAACGGGCAATGGCTCCAAACAAGATGGACGCTGTGTTTGGACGAGGCAGAAAGAAAGACAATGTTCGAAATGGGTCCTTGTATCGTAGTCTGATTGAAGCATACTGGTTGCCTTACAGCCGATTGGACACCTCCGACATTGCCCGTCGTCGAGCATATGTCAGAGAGAAGATCCTCGATGTGATTCTCAACAACAATGGACGTTTCATCATGCGAGATGGACCAGATATGATGCGCCAGTTGGATCCCAATGACTCCACGGACATCAAGCAGATCTTCAAGAAAGTACAGCGAAGTCTATTCAACGAGAAAAAGCGGCAAGAGGATATGGGAACTCCCATGAACGTTGACGTTGATACCAACTTTGATCCAACTCCGGATTTTGCTTTCAGCAGCAAGCAAAGAGATGGTGAAGTCCTTTCAGCTGAAGAAGAAAACGAAGTCAGTGTCCCAGAAGCTGACGCGCATGTCACTGAACCAACCCATGGTGTTGTTGCTTCTGGTGTTGATCAAATCGACTTCTCGGAAGAAGCAGCATTCGGCGACGGAGCAGGACTGACAGAAACCGTGGACATGGATTTTGACATGGCGGAGGAAGCTACTGCAGAATTTGCCTTGGTGAGAATGGACGTTGTGGAACGTCAGGACGCTGCAGAAGATATCAAGACCTTGCCGGAAGCCATTGCTGGAAGAGAAGTATTGGGCACCATTTTGGAGGTTCCGCCGGCTCCTGCTACAGAAGGGGGTAGTCGAGTTGTTGGATCTGAGCTAACTGGTGACACTGGCTCGGACGCTGAAGATGATTTTCAGGCTATGCCTGGGTCGCTGGTCCATGCTGCTTCAGAGGATAGCGAGCCTACATCCGTGGATGACTTGGGAGGAAGCAGCCAAGACGCCCCTCATCCCGGCACTGTGGCCCACAGCTCGAGTCCGAAGGAATTGGGTCGAACCGAGTGCGAGTCCTTAGAGCGGAACTTTCCACCCCGAAGCCAAGAATCCTCCACCCATGATTCGGCGGTGGAATCGTTTGGTGATGCGGATGCAGGAGGTGATGTGGCCGAGGCTGCTGCCGCGCATGAAGTTAATCTGTCGCAAAAAGGCAAGCTTTGTCAAGACGGCAATATCAGGCAACGAAAACGAGCCCATGACGATGTCGCGTGCGACCAGGAGAGTCCGCGGAAACTACAGAAAAGTTCTTCTGGGGATGGTCGAGAAGAACGGGTCTATGCGTGTTCGGGACAGGGAAGCGAACAACGCAAGCACCACACGAAGCAAGTGGAATTGTTGAGCAGTGATTTGACTGCAGCACAAAAGGAAATTGCGTGGTTGCGCAGCGAATTGCTTCGAAGTCGGAAACACAACACGACGAACGAGGCAAATGCTGCTAGGATGGGCGCAGAGCTGGAACGGCTGCAAGTTGAAATGCGTAAAGTGGAGCAAACCAATGCAGCTTTGCAGGTGGCTTTGTCGAATCAAGAAGAAAGAAGTGTGGAGCTCGAAAATGATTTGATGGATGAACAAGACCGAAACACACAGCGTCTGGTAGAGCACCAGACTGACATGGAGCGTGAACGCAAGGCCCAACTGCAACAACACCAAGCCGACTTGAGGCAGCTAAGAGGTAGGATCGCGGCTCTGGAGGCGGACTTGAAGCTTGAACGAGAGAAAAGTGCCCGTCCCATTCAACAACATGGTGTTGCACTACAAGCGGAAGTCGCAACCAGTGCCCTGTGCTAGCGCAACTTAAGCTGATGGTGTCGAGCGTTTCTGTTTGAGAGGGGCGCTAGAGATCACGTTTCGAGGATGTGTGACTCAAGTCAGATGGTTATCCGATCATACATAGATGGCCAGGGTACGAGGAACGAGGCACAATGGCGTCTAGATGATGCAACTACAAAGGTTAGGAAGATAGGTCGAAGAGACAATGCAAGGAGGATGGGACGGAAGCAAATGAATGGCACGGATGAGAGTCCTAGGTTATAAGGTGGAAAGCACCTCCAGGGCCAACCATGCACTTCAGGAAGATAGATCAACGAGATCTATCTGCAGAATTAAACTGCGAGAAACAGAGAGATCGAAGGATCCTGGTAATATGTATGCATATGGACTCAGTTGTAGAGCTCACAATCTTAACGAGAGGGAAAGAGAAATACGAAACAGAATAGGCAGTCTTACTAGACAGTAGAGCTGGAAGGATATTGATTAATTAGAGAAATTTGTGCGTCAAGTTCACACCTTTTCAACAGTGTAGTAGTAGAGTGCTGCGATGTGTGTTTTTGCTTGGCCCAGCCAGCTAAAATGATACCCACCCAGCTAGACTACAGCTACCGTTGGAGCCTGTTGTCTCCTGATGGCACTGGGGCAAAACCAGCTATTCTAGTTAGCTAGCTTAGGAAAGTCAACTACAGTACACGTGTACCAACTAAAATATAACCATCTAATAGAAATTAATTATCGGGACAGATAACCCGCCAAAACCGGTTCCACTAAAGGGAGGCTGAACCATACATCCCATGTGCCGAGATGATAGTAGGTATCACCTTCTTCCCTTCCGGCATTTGGCTCCCCGCCCTTTGCCCCGCATTTACGTTTGGCACAACACTGTGTCCAGTTACCTTCACACTGCAGACCCGAACCTCACCAATATCCGACTCATCCACGAACAAACAAAGC